ATTCAGAGGCTGCACATAAGGGATGGTAGATTCAATCCTTGTTTGCAACCATCACATATATATGTTACACACACACACACACACAGAAATACACACACTGGATCATTACTGACATGAGATAAAAGAGTTAGACACACTAATGCCAGCGAGGAAACGTCTTGGAGGAACTCTTTAGGCCCCTGCAGTGAAGTTTTTTTATTGGTCCTATTGGGATGACACCAGAATTTAGAATGCACAAATGTCAATGTACAAAGTGACTAGGAAGTTCTTAAAAGGAAACCACATCAAGTAAAAAGGACAACTCAAGACTGAATTGTACATAAATACTCAATATTTGTTGTTTTAAAAATATTTGTTTTTAATTATTTGTAAATCATAAAAATTAACAGTATTTAAAGAAGACAACCTTGTTACATATGCTGCTTTTGGGGTGTTCTGAGATGGAAATGCCGATTATTTCATTAATCTGCTCACTTTTCACATCTTAATCTAATTCATATCATCTCCTTGGTTTTCTTCCACTAAATAATTACTTTATAAAAGAAAAAATGAGCCCTGGCCGGTGTGGCTCAGTTGGTTGGAGCATTGTCCCATGCACCGAAGGGTGGTGGGTTCAATCCCTGGTCAGGGCACGTGTGGAGGCAACATATCGGTGTTTCTCTCCTCCCTCTCCCTTCCTCTCTCTAAAATCAATTTTTAAAAAGAAACAAATAAAAGAGAGAGTAATTCCATTCCTAGGTATGAAAACATGTCCACATAAAAACTTGTACACAAAGCTCATAGCAACATTATTCATAATAGCAAAAGGTGGAGTCAACCCAAATGTTCACCAGCAGATGAAGAAACAAAATGCTGTATGTCCATTTCTGTATCATAAAGAATGTAGCTGGTAATTAGCCCCTAAATCCTTGACATTTCTTGAGTGATAGGAGTGTCTTTGTTAGGTGGTCCCTGCTAATTTATGAGTATCTACCTTTGGCTTCTTCAGATTTATATCTACAAATAAATTTTTTTGTTAATCCTCACCTGAGGATATTTTTTCCATTGATTTTTTTTTAAAAAAAATATATCTTTATTGATTTCAGAGAGAGGAAAGGAGAAGGAGAGAGAGAGAGAAACATCAATGATGAGAGAGTCATTGATCGGCTGCCTCCTGCACGCCCCCAACTGGGGATCGAACCCGCAACCTGGGCATGTGCCCTGACCGGGAATCGAACACTAATCGCCTGGATCCTAGGCTGACGCTCAACCGGTGAGCCACGCCCGGCCGGGCTCCATTGATTTTTAGAGAGAGCGGAAGGGAAGGGGAGAGAGGAGGGGGAAGAGAGAGAAACATCGATGTGAGAGAGACACATCGATTGGTTGTCTCCCGAACGCGCCCCTACCAGGGAGGGGGATCGAACCTGCAACCCAGGTACATGCCTTTGACCTGGAATCGAACCCACAACCCTTCGGTGCACAGGTCAGTAATCTGGACCAGCATAGTAGCCAAACCTTCCAAAGGTAGAAAAGCTTGAATGTAAATGGAAAGTGAGGACTAGTAGCTGAGGGTAAAGGAGTAAGTGGGTTATGCAATGAGGGAAATCCAGTATTGCACTGACACTTTGAAAGAGGCTCGGGACAAAAGGTGGCATTGTTCCTTAGCTCAGTTATGCCAGATGTCTGAAAGGCTGAAGCCATATATTGCTGAAACCACTCTTGATCTTGCAACCTGCCAAGACTGAACGTAAGACTGCCAACATAGCTGGCCTTGCTGTGAGACATTTTGATCATAAAATATGATGGACTGATAAAACTCTTATTTTTTATGTTACATCTACGTAATAAGATATACTATAGCCCTGGCCGGTGTGACTCAGTTGGCTGGAGCACTGTCCCGTACACTGAGAGGTCATTGGGCTCGATTCCTGATCAGGGCACATACCCAGGTTACGGGTTTGATCCCCAGTCGGGGTTTGTACGGGAGGCAACCGATCGATGTTCCTCTCTCACATTGATGTTTCTCCCTCTCCCTCTCCCTCTCCCTCTCCCTCTCCCTCTCCC